TGGAACCGGCCTCTGATCAGTTTCAGCAGCAGCTGACTTGGGTACACCTGGGACAGAGCAGCTGGGGTGCTGCCAGGTTCGTCACCACAGTGCCAAGGTGCGGCGCTGCAGGGACCAACCCAGCAGCACACCAGATGCTCCATCCCAGGCGTCCCGATTCCGCTACTGCTGACACTGACCAGCAGCGGATGAATCAGGGACGCCTGGGGCAAAGCTGGACTATTGGAAGGGGGGGCTATGAGGGGTCTAGGGTGGCATCCCTCCCACCCCACCCCAGGCCCCTCATAGCCCCCCCTTCCAATAGTCTGGCATATTTGATAATCCAGCACCCCCTGGGTCCTAAAGGTGCCGGATTATCGGAAGTTTACTGTAATTGTTTCAGCATTATCAAGCAAATTCTGTTCCCACTTTTCAGTGTTGCCATTGACTTCAGTGGATCAGGAGTTGGCACCAGTGACATTTCTACTTGTCCACAGCACACTCTTCCTCCTCTTTTCTCCATTTAGTACTTCTGAGTTGGTCCGTTCAGAGAAGGGACAAAATATAGGCTGGAAATGGACTGTGTTAGTTCAGCCTTGAATATATAAAAATATTCAATTGCATAAAGAATGGAAATGTTTTCCAAAAGGAAAGTATGTAAATTATTAGGTTATGGAATCAGAAATGCACATCAATGTATGTGCCTCCCTGCTTTTTAGAGTTTGTTTAAATGAAAAACAAGATGATTACCAGGACTCCTGCCAAATGCCCCCTTCCTTTTGTTCACTATTAGGGCTTATCTTCACTTATCCTAAGGTCAGTGCTACAGAGACTGATCTCCAGGGGTCTCTTGATTTAGTGGGTCAAATCAGGTCCCACTAAATCACCCACTGATAATGCTCCCGCTGACCACTGTTCTCCACTAGGTTGTGAGGAGTAAGGGAAGTCGATGGAAGAGTTTCACCGGATGATCTCCTCCAGTTGGGAGATTGCATCTTGGGTCAAATTTATGCATGGACTATAGCTATGCTATTCATGTAACTAGAGTTGCATATCTTAAGTTGACTTTCTACAGTTGTGTAGACCTGGCCTACAAAAATTGAGTTAAGAACCCACGCAGCATCGGGTAAATATTTTAGTTAAGCATAAAACAAGATCCACCACAAAATGGAATTAATAGTCAGGAAAATTCTGGGCCATTGTCAATAAATCCACGAGGTTTATGTCTAGCAGGAAGGATGCAGTCTTCCCCTGTGACCTTTGCAGGTCATTTTGCTTCTCTGTACTAGTGTTCCTTCTAATATTTTCCATCCATGAGTGGAGTGAGTTTTGTCTTGTGCACTGCTATTGAGGTCATGTGCACTTGTCTGGATGTATACCACCATGGCACCCACCAGTTGCTAACAAATATCTTAGATCTACATATTTTTAAAATGTTATGGAAAAACACTAAGACCAGGGATAATTAAAGTAAGGTAAATTACTTTAAATGTTTATTTAATACGAAATCAAATAATAGGAAAATTAATACTCCACTGTAACCCAGAAACTAGCCCTATCAGTGAATCACGGCTGGAATCCAAAATAGGTCCAGTTAGATATGCAAGTTTCTCCTCTCTCTTTAACAACATGTACATGATTAGCATGTACATGTTATCAAAGAGAGGAGAAACTTGTTAGAACTGAGATGTACATTTTAATTCTCAGATCTAACATGATTAACATGTACGTCTCAGTTCTAACATGGAATTGTTAGAACTGAGATGTACATGATTAGCATTAAACATATGATTAAATTGCATTGACTTCAAAGGGATTTAAGTATACAATTAATGCATCTCTGAATCAGGGTCTTAATTTCAACATTTAAATTGTTAAATGGTTTAAATGTGTACACATCAAAGGAACTCTTTCTTTACACTGTTACTGAACCCAAAGGTGTACTCATTCAGATGGAGCAATGCCCCATGCTTTGTGTAACAAATACAATTGTAAAAAAGAGCAATATAAGAAAAAGAGAATCAGATTCACAATTCTGCACTTAAAACTGCCAGTAAAGTCCCATAATAATTCAATTAATTTATCTACTAATATAAGTGTGAGTTAATGGTCTAGGAAAATAAACAAGAAGTTTAACCGAAACTGTTGAAGATTATAAAATCTTCATCTATGAAACTGATGTGTAGATTATAAAAACAAAATAATCCCAGCTCTGTTCTACAGTTTCATGCTAACTTTGCACATAACTGAATACGTTTTTTTAATGCCATAGATATTTGAAATGGGGTAGAAAACCTCACACTGACCATGACACAATAGGGAGGAGATCCTTACCTGTTTACAAGCAATCACAGCCCTGCTTCCTGTCCTGGCACACGCAGCCCTGGCAGGAACCACCTCATCATGGGGCTGCTGCTGGAGCTGGAAGCAGGCTGCGGTGAGGCTGCCCCAGCTGCCCACCTAATGCCATAGATATTTGAAATGGGGTAGAAAACCTCACACTGACCATGACACAATAGGGAGGAGATCCTTACCTGTTTACAAGCAATCACAGCCCTGCTTCCTGTCCTGGCACACGCAGCCCTGGCAGGAACCACCTCATCATGGGGCTGCTGCTGGAGCTGGAAGCAGGCTGCGGTGAGGCTGCCCCAGCTGCCCACCGCCTGCCAAAGCCTCAGAATGCCCCAGCTCCCGCGACCTCACTAGCCAAGCCGCATGGCATCCACCGTGCAGGAACACGAGTGATGAACGCTGCTGAATGGCTCTGCAAAGGAGGTGGGCAGGCCTAGAATTTTTTGTGCGTGGCTGCACAGGTGCGCACCTTAGAGGGAACTATGCTCTGCACTACAGTTTTATCAATAAATATAATAGTACATCCCCCTATCTTACAGGGAGGATAAGTACCTGCAGTACTCAAATACTATGGTAACCAGGGCCAGCCATGTGTGTAATAGTTTTAGATAGCTGGATACAAACATTTTTATAGAACAGGTGAACAAAAGCTTCCTAGAAGTGGGGACCCACCAGTGCCCGAACTATCTCCGCATGACTCCTTGCACTAAGGGCCCCCTCTCCTCCGTTCACTCCTTTCTGCCTGCTCTCCCCTGTTGCTCATCCTTACTGCCAGTAAAAATTGATGGGGCCATGACTCCCTGTACCACCCTGTTCTGGTGCTCTGTTCTAGAGCTCTTACTGCAGAGGCAATCATACATGAGGTTTTGGCCTCCAGGGCTGTCATTTTGGCACCTTTCTCCATCATAAAATTCATTCAAAAATTAGGAAAGGAGCTAATTAGACACTTCCATTGATGCAGCATATCTTTGTTTAAAAAAAACCCACCTTTATGTGAGAAGCAGATTAAGGTACTTGAAGCCAATTAGTTAAGCTTTAACAGATGGAAGTGCTGCCCGTTTCCATTTAATTAATATGAACATATCAATTCAAAATCATATTTAAGTAAAGTCCAAGTGTTACAATGGGTTTGTGCAGTATCTGTCTGCCTTATCGGACACGATCCAGCTTTTGCTGCTGACTTCATACTCAGCATCCTGCACTAGCCCTAGAGGACCCTGCCTCACCCCTTTGCAGTTTTCATTGCACTACAATTTCCCTTAGCAATCACTGGCAGCTGAATTTTTCCTGTTATTGCTCCTTATGCAACTCACTTGGCTCTTCTGCCTAAGGCCATAGGTTCTGCATAACCACATTCAGACCTGAAATCTCATCAAGTGACATTTGTTACCCTACTATCTGGACCTCTGCCTTATTCCAATCCCTTCCTTGCACCCCACATATCTCATGCTGCTGCAGTAGGAAGGGATTTGGATAATACAGCAGTTATATTAGAATGGAGATCTCCAAAAACAGTGTGAGGGACTTTCTGCAGCCCCACATTCCTGCGTGGTGCAAACAGCAAGGAAGGCTGGGGGTGGGGGTAGAGAGTAGAGTCTTGGCCAGGGGTCTGTTCTCTAATCTGCCTTGCACCTGCAGGGACTGGATATCACTGAGTGAGCAAGGCTGAGCAGAGACCACCCACCAAACTGCGAGAGGGAAGAGGATAAGCAAAGCCACACTGCTGGTGAGCGGTTCCTGCTGTCTCGATTATTTGGACTCCCAATTATTCAATAAAATCCATGTCCCCCAACTTAGATAATCAGGAGTATACTATAGCTTTCATTTTCAAATAGCACTGTGCAATATTTGGGGAGGGAGGGGGGCAATGAGCAGGTGAGTAGAGCAGAAGGACCGGGCTGGTACTGGTCAGAATGCCCAACCATTTCTACAGATTTTATAGTGGCAATTCATGCGATGTATACAGGAGCCTTATGAAAGATAGTGTTTTTCTTAAAGCCCTAAATCCTGGAGTCTCTTGATAGCTGAACATTTCAGTTTCCATTTTAAAATACAGTTTGAACCTCTCTAGGGGTGCATCTACACAGAAGGGCTTAACTTGAAATAAGCTACGCAAATTGAGCTACATCATTTGCATAGCTTATTTCAAAATAGCTCATTTTGAAATTGGGAGCGTCTCCGCAGCACTTAGTTTGAAGTAGAGCACTCTTCCTCTGACTTCCCTTACTCCTCGTACAATGAGGTTTACAGGAGTCGGTGTAAGAAGTCCTTGAGCTTGACAGTATTTCGACATTATTTCTAAATAATGCTAGTTCTTTTGAAATAATGTTGCTGTGTAGACGTACCCTAATCTGGCATTCTTGGGACCTGACCGTTGCTGAAATAAAGAATTTGCCGAACCATGGGAGATTATTATCCTTTTACCTTAATTTCTGGAACAGGGCAAGCTGCTTTACTAACAGCCCTGGGCACAGTGGGAGGCAGATGCTGAGAATCATATGACTGGCCCGCACTCTCAGCTGGACAACATAAAGAAAAACTTGGCTCCAGAAAGGAGAGGGGAAAATGTAGAACAAACTCCCCCAGACAAAATTCCTATGAAACATCATCAGGCAGAAAGCTTGCAATAAACACATTTCTTCAACCTCAGTTTAGTCAGACAGCATTTCTGCTGTCAGTATTGACAGTAGTGAAAGGAAGAGACAGTAACAGTTATCCACAGAAAGCAGGTATATCTGGATCTAAAATAAAGCTGTTTCCCTCACAAACAGTGGGACTGGATACAATAACTGAACTGAACTGAAATTTGATTTATCCTTTTTATGTGTGTTCACTTTTTTTGATTGTATCCCTTTGGTATATATGGTCATGCCAATTTTCTTCCACAATTTGATCGGAGGAAGTGGGTCTGGCCTACGAAAGCTCATCACCTAATAAACCATCTTGTTAGTCTTTAAAGTGCTGCATAGTCCTGTCTTTTGTTTGAACTTAAGTAGGGAGCCCTCTTGTGGTCAGAGGTATTGATTTATTCAAGTGCATAATCTCTAAATTAAGGCAAAATTCTACCTTCCCTGTGTACTGCAAATTGCAGTTCAGATTTCTCATGTACATCCTACACTTATAACCCATGCATAGTTTCCTCTGACATTAGGGGGTTTTGCACAGGGCAGAATGTGCAATACGAGGAGAGAGTCAAATCAGATGCAATGGGAATTTATACTTACTCAAGGCCACAGCTGCCGATCTGGTGCTGAGTGACCCATTTGTACCAATACACTGCAACATGTTTGCTGAACATGTTCTGTTCCAATGGGAGGGTGTGCTCTCATCGGCATAGAAATTACCCTCTCATCTCCACAAGCTGCAGAAACTAGGTCTGCGGGAGAAGCTGTTATAAACAAACACGTGAAGCTTTGCAATCCTTTTTATCTAGCAGCTTTAATAAGCACTGGGCGTCTGATGTTTTCCAAACTTCTAAATACAGGTTGGACCTCCCTGATCCGGCACCCTCAGGAACGGATTGGTTTCAGATGAGGGATTTTGCCAGATCAGGGAAAGTCATATCTGGCCCCCCTCTACTAGCCACCCCAAAGCTAGACTGGCTGCAGGCCCTGCTGTCCTACCAGTTCCTCCCCCCCGCTTGCCTGCCATGCCAGGCAACTCAGCTCACAGCATGCTGGGCTGCTACTCTTCCCGCCCCCCCCCAAGCAGCCCAGCTGAGGCATACCAGGAGCCTAGCTGAGCAGCCCTTCTGTGGCATGCCACTCCCAGCTCCTCCAGGCAGCTCTGCTGTGGCTCGCCAGGCTCCCAATCCCACTGGGCAGCCCTGCTGGGGCACACTCGGCTTCTCAGCTGTGGGGATCTAGGCTTCTGGCCCCACTGGTAGTTCACTGCCAACAGCCCACAACCCTGCCAGTCTGCAGGGCTCCTAGGCACCAGATTCTCTGGTCTTGGAACGTCTGTGGTCGTGCTAGACAAAGATGTTGCCAGACCAGAGAGTCCCAGTTTACATAGATTCGAGCTGTACGTGAATGACTGGGAGGACGTAATTATACACACACACTTTAGATACTGGAGATCTAAATATATAGGCGGGTGACAATTTTTGAAAGCACAGCTCTAGCTAAAACTGTTACATAGACACTGCTAGAAAAATATTTAGAATTTTCTGTTTAAATAAGGAGCAGCAAGGGGCCCTGCTTGCAGATTGCTTTCTCTTGCTCAGAAACAGGTCTGCTCTGAAAGCAGGAGTAGAAGGTGATAGCGAACAAAAGCTGAAGGATCAAGCAAAGGAATAACTGCGTCTCTAGGACATCTTGTCTGAGACTGAGTCTGGCTTGTAAGTCCAGTAGTATGTTCAAGATCACAAGTGTCAGAGTCTGGAGAGGAGTGTGTGTGCACATATGTGTGTGTTGCGCACATGTGCATGCATGCAGGGGTGAGGTTACATGGCCATTTGGAACTAAGGAGAAACTGAACACTTCTGAAAAACTCAGATGGTGAAATTCATTTTCCTTAGATTAATTTACTGCTTTTGAAAAACAGGATAGTTCAGCATCCACGCATATGACCCCTCTGGCCCTGCCAGGAGATGACTCGCTTGACAGCAGTCTTCATCTCTGAAGCAAAACCCACAAAAACCAACAAAAAGAACTTGAGAAAAATGTTTTGTGACTAAGGTAAATATATCAGCTTATTGGGTTGAGGCATCTGCAACATTAGAATTGGTTAATTGCAAACGGTGGTTGGTTGTTTCAAATCTTAGCAGTGTCAGCTAAACTACTGTTATTTGACAAAATCAAAGTAGAAAAAAAATGGAGACACAGAAATGGGATTTAGCAGTTATGCATGAATTTGCCAACAGAGGGAGTCCTTTCACTATCTAGTGTAATTCTGGACAAATGACTTAGTAAAAGTTTAAAACATCAGTTGTGTCCCTGTTGTGCCACTACCATTGCAGTAATAGCAAAAAAAAAGAAAAAAGTTTTTGACATAATGTTACATCATAGTATTTAATAGATTAACAAACCATGGGGTAACACCAGCCATCCAATCACTTCAAGGGGACTGCAGAATTTAATTGGTTATTGTCGTTACAAAAACTATCTTTAGGGCACAACTTAAAATATCTGAGAGAATAATCACTTTACCCATTTTAGAGAATTATGCCATATAGCTAGAGGGCTCTTCTTTCTCTTGGCCAAACACATACCTAAAAGTCATTTGGGTGCTTTCCAGTTCTGCGACAATTCAGTTATGCCACTCACAGGCTGCTGTGAGGCTTAGTTTATTAATGTTTGCAAAGCACACCGCTATTCTCTGTACCTAAAGACCTGCTGTGAGGCTTAGTTTATTAATGTTTGCAAAGCACACCGCTGTACCTGAAGATATATTACTCTACAATTCTCATGTCATGTCACAGGCAAAACTTACATTGACTTCAATGGGAAATTTACCCGTGCAGAGACTCTGGGACAATATTCTAAATGAGGAGTTCTCATACTTCATGGCATTGGGACCCCTTACATGACTTCGGGGGGAAGAGGGGCTTCATGGCATTGGGACCCCCTTCTGACAAGAAAAATGACTACATGTCTTTGGGGGGAAGAGGGCACCAAAGCCTGAGCCTGCTTGAGCTCCTCTGCCCTGGGTTGGGGGTGCTAAAGAAGAAGCATGAGGGCTTCAGTCCAAGGCCTGGAGCCTGTAACTTGAGCCCCTGCCACCTTGCCCTGGGATTCATGCTTCAGTTTCAACCCCAAACCCCAGCAAATCTAATGCCTGACCTGGTGACCCCATTAAAATGGGAGTACAACCCACTTTGCAGGTCCCACCCCCAGTTTGAGAACTATTGTCTTACATGATTCATTGTGTATTTGTATTAAATCCATGGGAGAGACCCAATTCTGGACAGACATGAACATGGGCAGACAAATTGTGATCCACTTAGAGCTACCTCTGAACTGAAATCAAGCTCAAACCAAACACTGGAGAATTTAAAATAACTGTTCGCCTTCTCCCTCTTCAACATGGGCAGCTCTTCATTTCCTGGTCTGTGTCAGGATCCATCACTGTAAGATGGGCATTTGTGAGGCTTCTCAGCAGAGATTAGACGCCACCCTGCCGATTAACAGAGAGCCCAGAGGTAGGCTTTTTTTTTTCTGTTGGTGATGCATATTCACATAAGCCTTGGTGCAGTGTTTCTCAACCTTTTTTTAATAAAGTATCCCTTTTTCAAAAAAAAAATTATAAGTACTCCCAGTACCTACAGTTTTCAGACACACAAAACAAATTTCTACCATTGTAACGCATTTGTTTAAACAAATTCATCATAGTTGGGCGGGCGATTAAATTTGTGGGTGTAAAAAGTACAAAAATAATAAAGCACTGTAAAACTTAAAACAAAAATTCAGTTTTTTCTAAATTTCAGTTGTGATGACATACCCACCAGACTTCTCTCAAGTACTCCTAAAGGTACTCATATCACTGGTTGAGAAACACTGCCCTGGTGCACATAAAATTATTCCGCACATAGAAAATCTGGACGTGGCTGGAAAAGATTAGAAAGGACATTGGTCCTGCCCTGGTGCACATAAAATTATTCCACACATAGAAAATCTGGACATGGGTTGAAAAGACTAGAAAGGACATTGGTAAGGACCACAAACAGAAATTACAAAATATCCTATGAAGTTCAATTGAATCAAGTATACAATGTTATTTGTAGACTCTTTCTCTCACACATGCACAGTCATAGTTTTCAGCCCAATTTTTATAAGTCTGGATATTTTGAACCAGCATTCAAACTTTTAGGTGCTTAAATATAAACTGCAACACTGAAAACTTTGGTGCTTAAAACTTAGCACCATCATCCCCATGTTTAATTGAAAGACTGTTAGAAATACTCTTTCCACAGGTAAATGTGGAAAGAGACACATTTACAAATCCTAGTTTGTCAAAGGAATATATGATTATCAGTCTTTTTGAACATTTAGCACATTGGTGTCTGAGCAGTGGAATTTATAATTGAGCTTTATATGAGTTTTAAGAGATTTCTCTATTTCTAGTCTTTTCAGGAAAAATGACAGTGTCTGAGCAGTGGAATTTATAATTGAGCTTTATATAAGTTTTAAGAGGTTTCTCTATTTCTAGTCTTTTCAGAAAAAATGACTAATGATGTTGCCTGTACCTAAAGAACTTTGGAGTTCCAAACAACAGATTGCCCCCAAATTCCAGTACAATAATAATCAAGAATTTGACAACATTTCTTACAAGATTTCAGTGACTCTTCACTGTGTTTTGTCCATTTGAATTTAAACAACACTTTATAACAGTCTGATTTGTCACCTGCCTCAGAACTTTTGACGACATCTAGCTTGATCAAGAAGTCAGTGAACTCAGTGGGAAAACACGTTCATTGACTTCAGTGAGATTTGGCTCTTCCCTGGCACCTGTGGGGATAGAGCATAACAGGTGCAGTAGCACCCATATTTATACTTACCGAGGGCTTGTCTTCACTACTCCTGCATGTCCAAGGAATGCATTTGCTCTTCCGCTTTTTTTTGCGGAAGAGAAAACGTGCTCTTTCAGGGAGCCCTGTATATCTCATTCTACGAGGGATCAAACGTGCTATTTCAGGGAGCCCTGTATATCTCATTCTATGAGGGATCAGGGCTTCGCCGAAAGAGAAGGTTTTTCCGCCATTTGGCCCCATCTAGGCTGGGCCAAATGGTGGGACAGCCTCTTCGGAAAAGCGATCGGCAAAAGTTATGCAAATTGCAGAGCACAATTTGTATAGCTTTTTCCGACAAAGGACTGTAATATAGACTTAGCCTATGTGGTGGATCAATGCTGCAGCAATAGATCCACTGGCGGTCGATTTACCATGTCTGTTTAGACACAATAAATTGATTTATGAGTGCTCTCCCGTGGACTCCAGTTCTCCACCAGGATGAGAAGAGTAGCCCAAGTCGACAGGAGAGCAGTCCCCACCAACCTAACAACACAGAAACACCATGGTAAGTACGTTGATTTCAGCTATGCTATTTGTGTAGCTGAAATTACGTAGATTAGATTAATGGGGGTGGAGGGTTAGTGCAGACAAGGCCTGTGTGCTGGTATAAGTCACAGAAGTGTAAGTCAGTAGTGAATCAGGCCCGCTGGTTGGACATTAGGGACAATTTTCTGACCATTTGGATAGTTAACTAGAACTAGAGATTGTAGAATCCCTATAATTGTTTTTAAGAACAGATGGGCCAAATACCTGTTAGAGATGGTCTATGTTTACTTGGTCCTGTCTCAGCAGGACTAAATGACCTCTCAAGGTCCTTTCCAGCTTTATGTTTCTCTTATTCAACTTATGTATCATCTAGAAGAACTCATTGCTGGGAAACTTCTCATACTGTGTCTCACATGTTTCTTTGTTCAGTTTCTGCTCTTTGCTCCTAGTTCAGACCAGTTTGAATTGTTCTGAACTAGTCCTCTCCCTCTGTGGTGTTTACGTCACTCATATCCTTTTGGGAGAGTTTTCCTATTTGCCAGCATATAGACTGATGAAAATTAAACATTAAAAGACAAACAGACCTAAACTAATTCCCAATCCACAGGGAAAAAAGTTTATTTGCAGGATGAATTTAACTGGCCTATGATGTTGTGTCTCTTTTTTGTTATCTGTTTATTATTTCTTTTTTACATACCTCCAGGAACTAGTCTGCTTGTGTACTTCTATTTTTAGCTCTGCTTTTATCTACAAGCTTTTCTTTCTAAACCGGTATGATGCAGACAAGGAAAGATCTACATTTCTATAGGCAGCTTTTTTATTCCATTGACAAGTTGCATGTTTTGAGTCCATTGACAAGTTTCAGAGGGATGTGTGCTCTCTTAGAGTTCAGGATATTTAGCTCTAGAGCTTCCTTCGGGGCTCACACCATTGCAGGTTTCCTGTTTTGTGCATGACACAATGAGTTTTTTCAAAGACACAGTTGTATGTATGGAGTTAGGGATTCATGCTGGCCTTAGAGATGTGTAAATGAGAAACACTGGACCTGATTCACCCTGTATATTCCCCCTCCCCCACGCGCCTCTCATGCACTGAGACACCAGAGCCCTGCACTTACTTGCTCTCCCCCGCCCTCCCAGAACTTTCGGGGCACCAAAATCACCTGATTCGTGCTCCATCCCTGCTCCTCCTTCTCCCCTCAGAGCTGGAACTCCACACATTGATTCGTGGCATTCCAACTCGGAGAGGGAGGATCAGGGACGGAACATGAATCAGGTGATTTAGGTGCTCCAAAAGTGCTTCGAAGGCGGGAGAAGAATAGGAAGTGCAGGGCTACAGAGGCACATGCGGAGAGAAGCTGCCAGGGGGTTTGTGGTCTGCAGGTTGCCCGCCATTGGTCCAGCACAATGGGATTCTGATGCCATTTGGTGCTTCTATGCACAACTCCTATACAAATAGGATTGTTCCAGTCACTTTCATGAGATCTGAATTTGCAATCTTGACGTTAAAAGATCCCATAAGAAACCTCTGAAATTCTTGCTGATTGTTATCTAGTTGGGAATACAAAATTTCAAATACTGGGATTAAAATAAAAGCATATGTAACACTATACAAATGTGCAGGATTTCACGCTGACAATAGTTTTCTTTAGCTAGTTAATTCCTAATAAGAGGTTTCAGAGCTATAACTGTTTAAATTAGAAAAAAGATTGGCCAGAGTTTCTACCACATTTATAAATAAATGTGGAAATGAGGAAAAAATACACTGCTATTTTAGCCCCTAGGGAAAAAATCTGTGTTGCTGTTTTCTCATTTGAAATTATTCCAAGTGATAACCTATGTAGTGTTACCACTAGCTCAATTTTATACAAAGCTATTTTAAAAAAGAAATCACAGAGAGAAGGAAATTACTTAATTTCCTTAGCTCTGTGCTTTCCTTTGCTTAGATCATGTAGGTCCATTTTCTGAAGGATCGCGGTAATTTAGAGCCTAAACATTTCTGCAATTCAACATCAGTCTAATTGCTCAGCTGTTTTGTTGACAACAGAGAACTCTTTTTAAGTAACACAAGGATTTCTTCAAAACAGTTTCCTTTTTAAGCTACTTCTTTAACATGACCATTTTAGCAATGTAAAAAGGCAAGTCTAAAAAGGCAAGACCGTTGTGTGAAATGTACTAATAGTGGATCACAAGGAGGAGGAATAAGACAATAGCAACAAGAAACATGTATTTATATTTATCCTGAGCAGAATATGGTGTTTGACAGCCAATTGGGCCAGCTGAGAAGTCTGCCCGCAGAGCAGAGAACCACACCAGAGGCCCAGTTTCTCATATAAATCAGCCTAGCATCACTGAAGTGGCGCTAGATTGAATTATACCAGTTTGTGATCTGGGTCAGAGCTCACATCTGTTGAAGCAGCGGGTGCTGGAATCAGTGTCTGAAGGGTAAATGTTTGGGCTCTGTGAGCACATGTGCCTTGCCCTTTCTGATCATGCTGGGGAGCATCCAAGAGTTGACAAAGAACAGTCGGAAATTCTCCATCTGTCTCATTGTGCTGTAAGCAGAATTTCATGCATACGCGAAGGCTCTGTGATGGGCCACTGGATCACCATGCCTTAGAGGAGTCAACACTCCCAGTGGAGCCAATGGAATACGAGTGCACCAAAAAGACAGCATCATGCCCCAAATAAAAAACAGCATTAACTGAAGTTAAATGTTAAGGTCTTTGTGAAGGAAAATACCGGCAGTACCCCAGAAAGAACACCAGGAGGCAATAAAGCTCCCCTCCCCATTGATAGGCAGCTGAAGCAGAGGATATCTGGCAAGCAGTGAATACCAGCTACTCAGTAAATTAGGTCAAAGGGTATTCTTTCATAGTGTGCTCTTTACTGCATTATAAACTAAAAGCACAATCTAGTCGGAAAAGCCACGAGAAACTGTAAGCACACAGTTATGGATATTCTACAGCCAAGGAGGAGGGGGAGTTTAGGCAAAGTTGCCTGGCCTGGTTCTGAAATACAGTGCACCAGAAAGGCAGAATCATGCCCACAGCAGTGTGCTCCGATCTCATCATCACGTGGGAGTCTAATTCCAACAATTCTTGCTTGTGTGGGAATTGGACTGGCCAGCTTTCATCTCCAGGTGACTGGTGTGAATCCAGCTTTGGCATGGGCCCCAGACTCATCTCCCACACACCACCACACAGCTGTGTCACACACACATTGATCTCATCTCTGAACCTGCAATGAGCTTTGGGCAGAAGGCTCTATTAAGAAGAAGGGGTAGCTCAGTGGTTTGAGCACTAGCTTACTAAACCCAGGGTTCTAAGTTCAATCTTTGTAGCAGCCATTTGGGGCAAAAATTTGTAAGGGATGGTACTTGGTCCTGCTGTGAAGGCAGGGGACTGGACCTGATGACCTTCAAGGTCCCTTACAGTTCTAGGAGATAGGCAATCTCCATAAACTTATTTATAATGGGGCTTTGGGAGGGCACAATGTCTTCCTATATGGTGCTCGGTGTAAAAATCCTGCACCAATGTTTTGCCTGACAGAAGTGCAGAGATGTGAGAGAGACTAGTGGACAGTGTGGGCAGGTCTACACAGCGGTGTTATTTTGGAATAATGTCAGTTATACCAAAATAACGTAGTGTGCGTCTACACAGCAAGCCCATTATTTCAAAATAAATTTGAAATAATGGGATTCTTACTCCAACTTCTGTAAACCTTGTTGTACAAGGAGTAAGGGAAGTTGGGGGAAGAGTGCCCTATTTTGAAATAACTGCTGTGTAGACAGCGCCAAAAGTCGAAATAAGCTATTCCAACTTAAGCTATGCAATAAGTTGCATAGCTTATTTTGAGTATAGCTCTGCTGTGTAAGGATGTTAAATATCAGCTAACTGACTAATCAAATATCTGATGCATTTTGCATTGACTATTGGTTTAGTCGATAAGGCGCCTCTGCCTTTGAAGTGTAGCAACAGCCCTAGGGCTGTTGCTACACTTCAAAGGCAAAAGTGGTGTGGAGCCCGGGGTCAGCTGGGGACTACTGTTGATCCCAGGCTCCACACAGCGCTGCCACTTTGAAACGCCGCGGGGAGCCCAATGCCAGGATCCCCGGGGAGTTTCAAAGTGGCAGCACCACACGGAGCCTGGGGTTAATGGGGAGTGGGGTCCCCAGCTGATCCCGGGCTCCACGCAGTGCTGCCACTTTGAAACGCCGCGGGGAGCCCAATGCCAGGATCCCCGGGGAGTTTCAAAGTGGCAGCACCACACGGAGCCTGGGGTTAATGGGGAGTGGGGTCCCCAGCTGATCCCGGGCTCCACGCAGTGCTGCCACTTTGAAATGTCATCTGGTCCCAGGCTGCATGCAGTGTTTCAAAGCAGCAGCCTCACCCCAGGCTTCAAATGACTTTGCTGCTTTGAAGAAACCCCCTTGTCTTCCCCCACTTGCTTCCTCTTTCTGATAGAGGAAGCAAGGGAAGGGGGAGAAGCAACTAGTCGACTATCCTGTCAACTATCCGATAAGCATTTGTCCTTCACATTCCTACTGCTGCGTAAATTTGCCCTCTCTGACCAATCCCCAACAGACATATCTGGCAATAGTCAGCCATCTGAGCAGAAAAGCTGCAGACAAATGTGCCCTGGGGCCTTGGTTACTATTTTACATCAAGTACTGCCATTGCTTGCATGCTATGTTTTTAGGGTAGTACTTGGTGTTCACCAAGGTCTGTGCGGTACTGTATGGCTAGCTTTCTCTCCTTGCTCTGGAATAAGGAAATATACCACACCGGTGGAATTCTCTCTTTCATGCCCAAGTGCTGTCCCAGGGAGAGACAACACAATTATAGAAGCTAGAGATGGGGGAAAAAACCATTTTAAATTACCCAGTCCTATTATCTGCCAGGGCAAGAATGTTCCCATTGTACATTTTCATGTGCTACAGCCAGTCAAATGATGTGTCCAAAAAGGAAGTTCCACCACTTCCACATTCCACCAAATTCACTGTCAGTGTAACCTGATATTTTCCCCCTCTTAATTGCTTCCCATTATTCTTCATTATGCTGCTCTAAACAATGCCCTCTCTTCCTGATAGTTACACTCTTCAAATATTTGCAGGCTGCTACCATGAACTCTCGACGCTTCAGTTATTGCTTAGTCAAGATGTACATATTTATTTAGCCATTTCAGGGTGTGAATCTTCTGGTATTCTATATGAAACTCCCCCAGTGACTTCAGGGGAATGGTGCATGCAAGAACATCTGCAGTAATGGACTTGTAATCTCTCCTCAGAAGAGAATCCCTCCAGCATTTCACTCAACACTGATGCTTTTCTCAGGCCATCCACTAGCTTCTCTCTGCTCTTATGGCAGGTAGGTACCTGAGATGTGTTACAGCACGCCAGCAGTTCTTAACATTGCTAGATTACTGTACCCCTTTCAGGAATCTGATTTGTCTTGTGTACCCAAGTTTCATCTCACTAAAAAAGTACTTGCTTGCAAAATCAGACATAAAGACACAACCGTGTCACAACACTCGCTCTCACTGAAAGTTTGCTTCCTTTCTCTTTTTGCCCTCTATCAATTGGAATGTAAACACTGCACTTACATTTTGGTGTCCAGTAGAAAGAGCAGTATAAACAAATCATTGTCAGGGTGAAATGTAATTTGTACTGAGTTGGCTAGTGCCTTGTTATGTAGCCTGTCGTGAAACTAGGCAAATAACTAGGGGTATGTCTAAACTGCATTCCTCTTTCGAGAGAGGATTGCAAATGCAGCTGAGCGATTTGTGCGGATTTGAATTTCCTGTGCTTCATTTGCATGATCGCGTCCGGGCGCTATTTCGAAATACCCTATTTCGAAAAAAGAAATGCAGTCTAGACACGGTTATTTCGAAAGAAAACCCTTCTTTTGAAATTACCCTTGCTCCTTATAAAATGAGATTTAAGGGTAATTTTGAAAGAAAGGTT